CGGGCCTCATACCGGTAATATCAAAAGGGTTGGCTAATAATATTAACAATTAAAATAATAGAAATAACCATCTGCAAAATATATGGCTTTGCAGTCTACAATGCGCTTGCCAAATTTAAAACAATTCCACTTGCTCTGTACAGCCACACGGGCTGGTGATTAGGTTAAAAGCAGTAGGAAAATCTCCAAGGTCACAGCTGACCTAGTCATTAAATCCAAGGGCACTTTGTCAGTCTTCAACCCCAGCAGCCTTTCTGCAGCAGCCATTCCCCCCCGCCCTTCCTCTGGGGTTACAACCGCCCCACAGATTCCAAGGCACCTCTGTGATATCTGCTCAAGGGCTTACAAGCGCCCTCTACCTGGAACATTCCAACTTTAACATGTTCGGATTCACATCCTCTCTCCTCAAGAGTTTTTTTGCCGGGCGTGGTGGCACACGCCTATAATCCCAGCACTCGGGAGGCTGAGGCAGGAGGGTCACTGTGAGTTCGAGCCCAGCCTGGGCTACATAGTGAGTTCCAGGTCAGTCTCAACTACCTAGTGAGACCCTGTCTCAAAAACAAACAAAAAAAAAGTCTTTTTTGTACGTCTGTGTCCTTTCTTGTTCACCAAGTTACAGTCCACTGAGGGCTCAGAGCCACATCTGAGTCCTGCTCCTCATCCCAGCGGGTCACTAAGTCTTATCAGTTCTGCCTTGTGGGCATCTCTCCATATCCTTTGAGGCTGCCCTAGTTCAGCCTCTTACTTTCTTTCACTTAAAATGTTACAACGAACTCCTGGCCCTCCTGCCCCCGGGGGCTCACCTTCCTCCCGCCCAACCCCCGGGCTGCCACGATCCCTTTGTACACAGCTTTCTGATCCCATCGCTGTGCTCAGCTTTGAATCCTTGAACGGTTCCGACAGCACAGCGTTGGTGACGAGACCCACACTGCTTGTCAGGGTCCAGAATCCCTCACTCTCTGACGCACGTCGCTTCCACGGTCCCTGCCCGTTCTCCTGCTCCCTGAGCCCCCATATTCCAGGCGCAGAGAACGGGGCTCAGGCTCCCCTTGCCGGTCCCCACACCGTAGCTCCTGCAGCCCTCTGGGCCTGGAGCTTCTCTCCTGTCCCCCATGTTCCCTCCAGGACCCCATTTTCATACTTCTTGGGAGACTGTGAGCTTTTCCCAAGGCACCGATTATATCCCAGTCATCTTTTGAGGATAGTACCTTTGAACTTAAACCTAGTGGCTTGATATAGAAGGACTAGGACTTGAGATGGCCAGGTGATTCTGCACTAGGGAGGTCAACTATGTACTATGTATGAATCATTACCACCGCCCCCAGTACACATCTTTAATCCATCACAGTCCATTTTTTTCCTGACTGTGCTCCAGAATCTTTCTTGCCACCGTGATCCAGAGGGCCATTTCCAGCCGAATGGACTAAGTCTAACAAATGATACCTATTTGTTATCCCAGTGTGGCCTTGGTCACAGCCAAATGTCCTTATCTATTCTTTCACCACTATTCGCCATCCTGGTCTGTGCTGTTTACTAGCTCTGGGAACGTCAGCCAATCGCTCGATCTCTCCAGGGTTCAGATTCCTCACCTAAGGAGGCAATAAAACTTTGCATTGTGTGGTCAGGAGAGCAGGTGATAAATAAGTCATGTGACACCTGCAAAGTCCTTGTACAAATAAGGATATTATTATCTTCCTCTGCAGATGAAGGAAATTTCTGCTCAATTAGAGAAACTAAGGCTCATCAACGTAAGATAAGTTGCTGATATTCATTTCATGGCAAACCAGAGCCTCTATCTCCATCTCGCAGGGACTTTTTACTCATGTTATTTCTTCACACAGGCGGCTTCATGATGGTTAATCCACTGCCTTGTTTCTGTGTTCTCTAGAGCAACGGTGATCTGTCAGATAGGATTTACTATAGCCTAGAATTCCAGGGGGCTTCCGTCTCATGACCCCTTAACCCACTTTCCTATCACTCTCGAGATGAGACTTCCTCCCAGACCCTCTCAACTGCCTAGCGGTGGAAATTCGTGTGGCAAGGAAAGCTGAGTGCTGCTTAGTTCCTCGATGTCTGCCCTCCAGTCCCAAAACTCAGGGACTCCAAAGAGCTGGCAGCTTGTCAGGGCCAGGGGTGGCCAGGCCTTGGAATATCTGTCACCTGAGCCTGGGAAACTAGCGAAGGCCCAAGCTGAGAGGACTCACTGTTTTGGGCCTCCCAGGATCCTGGTGGAGATCTTGACTTTGGAGAAGACTGACGAGATCGCAGGTGAAGACCTCTTCTCTGCACACTTTCTCGCCTGTCACCCCGAAGGTGTATTGGCCAGTGTACAAGGGAGGGCTTGAACCTAGTTAAGACTGCAGAGGAAGTGAGGGGAGGCAGAGAGTCTCTCTGATGGGGAAGGGGCTCCCAGGTTCCAGTTATTGACCCCTTTTCCCAAAGAGGGAATCTTTTCTGAACTGATTCTTTGCCTGTATTTTGTTCATCTTTTTCTCCTCCATGCCTGGTATTTCTAGACTTAAAAGGAGGGCCCATGGCATGTAGATTCTACGTTACTTTTCCTCCCTCAGTCTCTTCAGAGTGTGTATCCCGCTTCATCCTTCATCCTCTGCTTCCCATTGAACTTTTGGGCACTTGGAGGCACCGACTCAGTCCTCCCGTCAGCCTTGACTCCAGAGAAGCCATCTTTTCTCTACTTTCCTTCAGTCCTTACTGCGAGCCACCCTCAGCCCCACCTAGACACACTCCCTGCTCTCACGGTGAGGGTGACCAGGTGAGGAAACCGAGGCCCATAGTACCTACACTGTGCCTAGCAGGAGTACCTCAACACCAGAAATCCAGTCTTCTGTGGGAGGTGGACTCCTCATTCATGGTGGGAAAGGCGGGCAAAAATGTAAGCCGTTGGCCCAAAACTGCCGCAGTTGGACCTGGACCTGAAATTTCACGCTGGACCAACAGGTCCTCTCGGGGTCCCAGTACGTCCAGTGCCCATGAGAGCGAGAAGAAGAAGGATGAGTTTGGAGAAAGAGAGGGAAAAGTCAGAAAAGGAGGGCAGAGGAGGGTCACAGGAGAGGTGGACAGAGTACCTTATGATCAGGCCCCTGCTGACCTCCCCAGCACCAACGTTCTGTACCCTCCTCCCGCCTCACACATGTTCTCTGCTCACCACCAACACCAAACCTCTCACCACTCTTTCCCCTATCAACAGTTCTTTGCAAATAATAGGGATCATCCCACTTGGCTTGGCTAATTTCTGCTCCTTCAGCTTAGAAGTCACTGGACCTGGAGGTTGGTGAGAGCATTGCCCTCGTGCTCGCGGTCTGGAAACTAGACCTAGAGAGCTCAGCTCTGCAGGAAAACTGCCCGGAAGGGGTGGTCCTGCAAGCTGAACCCCGGCCTGCGCAGACTGCTTGTTATCTTGCCACTGTGCTGTGTCCTAGGATGTTGGTGCTGGGAGCCTGTGGTCAACCCATCCCTCGTTTCACAAAACAGGAAGCCATGCCCTAGAAGAGGGGAGCAACTTTCCCGACATCTCACTGCAAGTTAGGCGGGCGTTTTGAGGGGGGTTGAGTTTTTTTGTTTGTTTGTTTTGTTTTTTTGGTACTGGGGATCAAACTCAGGACCTTGTGCTTGAGAGGCAGGGAACCACGGAGCTAATCCCTGGCCCGGTGTCTCATTTTGAATCAGACTTAGAGCCACATCCCTGTCCTTCTTCACCCTAACTTCTCTCTTCTGGTTAGGTCTGACTCTCAGGGCCCAAACTGTCCGTTGGCATAGAGCCATCACTGGAAAATTACCCATGAGGTGCTTCCGCTGTCCCGGACATGTTTGATCTGACCCTTCCAGCCAACGGTTCTCAGGGGTCTCCCCCAGTCCCCTGCAGCAGCTGGGTCCCAACAAGAAGAGTTAGAATAAACAGCAAATAGCAGGTCTCTGGGCATGGCAGCATTCAGGGATGCTCTCTGGAGGCTGTGAAAACGGTCACAGGAATTCCTCTGAGACAGGTGGAAACCCCTTGGCCCCAGGCTCTGGGAGCTATTGGAATTGCTCCTAAGCCACCCAGGCTTTGTTCAATAGGTGGCTAAAGAGGGACCTCTCCTCACCGGGCAGAGTGAGTTCTTTACCTCTTTCTGTCCCTCCCCTATACTTAGTACTATATCACACTCAGGGTATTCTTCCTGCTAGGTCAGGTTTTATCTGCGGCTGCCTAAGTGCTTTATTCTCATTTGCATCCCTGGAGGAAAGGGAACCCTTTGGATACTCTGTGCCTATAATTCCTACTCCAAGAACTGAGCCATGGTCTCTGAATGGGTCCCTTCCAGTCCCTCTCCTTCTCAATGCTACAGTTCCATGTATGGAGAGCAACCTCTGACCCTCACATAGAGAAGTCTGAGCGGGTCCACCATCACCCCAGGAGGAAGTGGTTCTATCCCTTCCCAGCTTTCCATGTGCTCTTTATCCACATTCCTCACTTAAGAAGGAGAATGGAGTAGGGGTGGCATGTAGTTACTGAGTACACACACAACTAGATTGAGACACATTCTCCAAACAACTAACTGGCCCAGAACACCAGGAGGGGATAGGTTATCCTTTGGGTAGGCCCCTTTCTCCAACAGGGGACATTTAAAGTGACATTTGGAGGCAGAAGAATCACACCAGAGTATAAGGATCGGGGAGGTACAAAGACGGATGAGGTGGCTTATGCAGAATCAGTAGCCAGAGCAGTGGGGACACCTGGACACGGAATAAGAATGCAATTTGAGTGAAAGGTTGGTGACATCATGAACCCAACACACTCAACTCAGCTCTCTGACTACTGGAGTCTGCAGCTGTCGGAATAAGAATGCAATTTGAGTGAAAGGTTGGTGACATCATGAACCCAACACACTCAACTCAGCTCTCTGACTACTGGAGTTTCTGCAGCTGCGACCCCACCCACCCTCCCAGAGCCCGACGCACCATTGTGCAGTCAGCCCTCAAGTCCCTGGGATCCCAGCAGGCCTCTCTTTCTTCCTCTTTGAGGGCATCTGCTCCAAGCTGCTAGAAGATCCCCAAACCAGATCAGTCGGACGAGCACAGATGCCCCCTCAGATCCTTGCACAGACACAGCACAGGAGATGGCACGGTCAGAGCCCGGCATCACCAAGGACTTGTAATCGACAGAGATCTGTCTCCAAGTCCAAAGCCTAGCTATGAAGACCAGGTCGGTAGCAGGAGTGGTGGAAAGGTAGGAAATGGAAGGAGGGAGGCTCATGCTGCCTGGAGGCAGTGGAAGGGTCAAAGTGACCTTTGCGGTTCTTTCTAGAAGCCTGTGGAAGGTCCCCATGCCTGACGTTCTTTGCTGTCACTTGCCACCATGCACCCACTGCTTCCCTAGGAAGGTAAGTAAGTGGTAAAGTTTAGCCCTGTTAATATTCTTTTGGGGATAGGGCCAGGGATGTAGCTCAGAGGTTTTGCAGCCTGCCTCACAAGCGCAAGGACCCAAGTTCAATCCCCAGTACAAAAAAGAAAAAAAAAAATGGGGGTGGGGTAAAGGATCAGTTGAGTAGGGCCAAGAGGCAGCAAACTAAGATAAAACAAAACTGGAGGCAGAGCCCTCCATCCTAGCCCCAGCCTTGCCACCAAGCAAGACATAGCGTGTCACTTCTCAGAGCCTGGCTGGGAAAAGGAGAATTGCCCCCTCTGCCTCAAAGGGCTGGAGGGGCTGGGCCATGCCCACACAACTTCGCTGGGCAAATGCAAAGGACAGTCCCCTCCGGCCTGTGTGCCTCAAGGGTAGAGGTTAGTCCTCCACTGCGGCTCTGCCCTATGTGCTTGACTCAGTTCTGGGACTGGCGGGACCTGGGCCCCTAAGCCACTCTCTGAGTTCCACAGAGATTGTGTCCATGGTTAACAAATAAGCAGCATGGTCTGGGCAGCAGGACATTTCCCGCCCCAGGGCCACATTCTTGAGGTCACAACAAGTGCAAACTTGTTACAACCTGTGTCAGAGCAGCAGAGGGCAGCGGGCGTGTGGAGGGGGATGGTGCTGACACGGCCAAGGCTGACGGAAAAAGGCGACAGGGGCGGGGTTGAGGGTAAGGGGGGTACACAGGTGGACCACGGTGCAAAGTGCAGCTCTGGGCCCTGATCCTGTGTTGTGTCTGGGCAACATCTGCTTGGCGTGGGGGCGGGGATCCGCGTGTGGGGCTGCATAGATGAGAGTTAGCCCGTGTGTCCCCGCATATATGAGCTCCAGTGTGTCCCTGTGGCAGGCGGAGGACGGAGCTGGGCATAGTGGGGCCCAGGCTGGGCATTGGAAGGAGGCGTGGGCAGGCTATAAGCGCCCCTGCCCAACTTGGGCCTCACAGGACCTGCATTCCTGCTCCATCCACGGACTGCCCCCACCCTAGGAGCTGGGCCTGTCCCCTCCTGTGCCCTCCACAGTCGGCCCTGTCAAATGTCCATCTCTCCAGCCTGCCCGGGGGGGTGGGGGTGTCGCCTGGCCCTGGGCCCACTCCCCCATGCTCTCTGGGCCCTCCGGACGCTGGGCGGGTGGGGGGCGGTGGGGGAGGCTCTGAAAGCAGGTGACTGTTGGGGGAGCTCGGGGACAGAGCCCCCATTGTGCCCGCCCCGGAGCCGCCTCAATGGAGCTCTCCAGCACAAAGGGGCTTTGACAATGGGCAAGGATATTAGTATGCAGAGCCAGCCCCTCTGCCCTCTGCTGTCCCACAGCCCAGGGGCGGGAGCTGGGGGGCTGCTGGCATCAGGAGAGACGGGGGTGGGGCAGGGCTGAGACGGAGATCTCGGTGCCCTGGGGGCTCTACTCAGGAGCCAAGCATAGGACACTTAACCAGAGCCCCCAAACCTGCCACTCAACAGAGAGCACTTTCTAAATGGAGAAAGACAGGGGGACAAAGGGATGGGGGATCAGCTGTGGGGAGCCCATTGCTCCCTACCTCAGTTTGCGGTCTAGCCTAGCTAGGAGTGTGGTAAGAGCACTAGATACAAGGGTCTCAACCCTGGGGCCGCCCCTCAGAGTAGTCAAGCTTTCAAGGTGGGGGTGGGACCTGAGCCTCTAAAGTTCAGAAAGAGTATTGCTCAAGGTTTGGGAGGCTGTGGGCTTTTGCTTCCTTGGGGTACCACCTTGTAATAAGCCCTCTGCTGAGGAAGCCACTCGAGAGGAAGGAAGCATAGGGATTAGTGCAGGGCCCGATCCGGGGAGCTCTTCCAGGGATCTCAGCCTGAACGGACTGAGGAGCAGACACCCAGCCCAGGGGAACTCAGCCCAAGGACCAACAGGCCAGAGCCAGCTCTTCTCCAGTGTGTACCTGTGTCTCCCCCACCTCCCCTCCTGTCTGCACAGGCCTCTTCTCCAGCCCAGGCATGGCCCCAGCTGCCTTTCCCAAAGCACCATGTCCTACCTCAGCCCTGCAGCCCAAAGGCAGAGATGGGTGCAGGGAAAAGGCTATGAGGAGAAGGCCTGGGACCCGGAGTGGGGGGAGCTGGGAGAGGAGGGCAGAGCTCAGTCAGCATCCAGAGAATGGGCGCCACCTGACTGCCATCCTGCCCATTGACAGACGCCCTCTACTCCAGACGTCCCAGTCCACCCCAGAAGAGAGGGCTGGGACACTTTATAGGCAGGGCAGAAAAATCTCTGGGGCTTGGGAATAACTCCCCAGCTTTCTATTTCTCTTTCAGTTGTGGTCAGGCAGTGTCCCTTGCTACCTTACCCCCAAGATATCTTGCTGTTCTCCATGGGCCCTGGTGCTCACCTGGGATTACTGGGAGAGGTGAGATTTGCTTCCTCTCCCATCTCAGGACACACACACACACACACACACACACACACACACACACACACACACACACACACACACTGTCTGGGAGCCCAAAATTTCCTTGGGACCTTGCACATGTCACCCGCCCTCTCTGAGCTAGGAGCCCCCTCTGTGACACAGAAGGATCACCACTGTGTCTTCCTGCCTACTCTAATGGAGGCGGTGTACATTCACGGAGAAGCTCTGAGCTTAATAAGAGCTCACATTATCGAGTACCGTGCTTGGCATGTTAATAGTGTTATGTCACTTCATTCTCAGCAAGTCTAAAAACTCAGTGATTTGGGTTTTGTTTGTTTTCTGTGGTACTAGGGATAAAACCAGAGTCTTCATACTGAGCTACATCTCCCCAGCCCTTTTTATTTTGTATTTTGAGACAGGGTCTTCCTAAATCACTAAGTTGCCCAGGCTGAGTCCAAACTTGTAATCCTCCTGTCTCAGCCTCCCAGAGTGCCAGGATTACAGGTGTGCACCATCACACCCAACTAAGTAGGTGCTTTTTAAAGCCCATTTTCTTGCTGAGAAGACTGAAGCACAGAGATAGATTTGTCCAAGATCACAGGGTGACAGGTGGAATTAAGAGGTAATTTGTCTCCAGAACCTACAACACTGACCACTGCTCCCAATTCTGTCTCCTTATCAGCCAGGAAAAATCAGTGGGGGGAGTCAGCATGGTCTGCGGTGCTTTGAAAATGTGAGGTTCTTTGAAAATATTCTTTGAAAATTCTAGCCAGCAGTTCTCTAAGTGTAGCCCAGGAACCCCTGTGAGGGTTCTGTGAAGTGAAACCTCTTCTTCATAACAATGCTAACACTGCATTAGCTGCTGTCTTCACTTTCACTATTTCAAGAGAGTTCAGTGGAGTTTCCCAGAAGCGACTTGATAGCTTTATATAGAAGTGCAGAGAAGAAACCAATTTTTTTATTAAGCTAGCTAGACATTAAAAAGATTTGTAAGAATGTAGAACAATGTCACTGTTATTAGCAAATGTGACTTTTTATTTAAAAATCATGTTAACAGGCAATGGGCTTTTCGCTATTTTAAAAAAAAACTAACGATTTTTAAATCCGTACAGCATTCATTTCTAGCATAGTAAATATCAATAGTTATAAACTGTACAAACAAAGCTCTTGGGAGTTTTTGGCAATCTTTAAGTGCAGAGGGGTCCTGAGATGAAAAGTTTGATAACCTCTCTCTGCTCTCGCTCCCCTCAGACACTCGCCTCCGCTCTCAGCAGCTGCTGGGGACTTTTCATCATGGGGATCGATCGGGCAGTGGTCTGCATGGGGAGAGGACACATGCCTGGATGCAGTGATTGGGCAGGGGAGCTGGCCCAGCCAGGTCAGGAGAGCTTAACACTAGGCACAGGCCAGGCCTATGTCCCACTGGGGAAGAGTCCCCATGTCGCCCACCTCACAAGGCCCCGCTCAGAGGTATGCCCAGGACAGTGGACTGTCCCAGGCTGGACTCTGACCTTTACCCCCTCTTTCTACCCTGGACAGCAGCCGACAAGCCCAGCATCCAGCTGGAGTCAGACCTCCCTGGTGAGGGCAGAGCGGCAGCCCTGTGGGGCCTGTCTGCTGCTGGCCATCTTAGAGAGAAGCCTTTGCCCCACGATGAGCAGTCAGTAGGGGAGGGGTCTCCTAAGAACTGGGTAATGGGGTCTGCTATACACCCTACTGCAGGACTCCCACATAAGCTGCTAAAGTCAGGGTTCTCCTCAGAATGAGCAAGCAGAAATGTCTCCTGCCTGGAGTTCAGCTGGACAGTGGCCACCCTGCATCCTAGGAGCCAAGCTCTTTGCTGAGTGTCAAGGGCTTCAGGGAAAGAAGCGATGCCTTTATTTCAGGGAGTCCCTCACCGACAGGGCACAGGCCCTACCCTAGAGGGTGGTAACCCAAGGTGATGAGGGGTCTCCTCCAACATTACCATGCATGGGCACCCTGGACGAAGTCACGGATGAAAGAGAAAAAGCAAGATGGCAGAGAGGGAAACAGGATGGTGGTTTGCAGGAAAGAAGGGTCTTGGAACGGCCTTGGCGGGGTTGTGCACGGCTTAGGGATTTCCCTTGGACGTGGCCCCCGGGACACAGTCCTAAGAGATGGAGTGCTAGATGGGAGAGGGGCATAAAGGCTCTTGAAGACTGTAACTGGGAAAGGGCAAGACAAACCTGGTATTTTGTGGTAGCAATTCTAGTGATGCTTGCACCCTGGACAAAGGAGCCAAGGAGAGAGCGGCCGGAGTCAAGGAGGCCACCATGGCTCACAGAGCTGGTGGGATCAACAGGCTAATCAGAGGCCTAAGAGGAGGGCACGTAAACCTGAGAGACGTGGGGGAAACAGAGCAGGAAGAGGCAAAAAGAGGGCTTTCCAGAAAGTACAGGAGGCGATACAGGGATGAACAGAAGCCGATATCTTTGAAGATAGAACTTGATATTTGCCCCAACAGCCCCATTCACATGCACAGAATCTGAAGTGAAGAAGTATATCTGCTTGGCAGAAACTCATGGGAGGAAGAGGCTGTGGGTGTGAAGACAGCCGCACTGGTGGCAACCAGACAGTGGAGATGAAACAAAATTTCACGTTAAACTCTTTGATAATTTGTCCACCTTCCCAAACTCCAGAAAGGTGAAGGATTGAGACTTGGGACAGAACCCCAGAATCTTAGAAAATGCACCTCGGAAGGGCAGGGACAAGACCCAGTTGCCAAGAAAGATGAAGGGGCCGGAGGGGTGGGAGGACCCCATCAGCTAACAACTGCACCTCTTGCATTCTAAACCTTCCAAACCCTTTACAAATATTGACTCTTTTAATTCTCACAACTATGGCGAGATGAAGAGTCTTGTGTGTTAACTAAGCAGTAAAACCAGACTTTAAGCCCAGGGAGGTCCAACTCCACCACTGTGCTCTTTGTGCCTCCTGTCTCAGAGCAGAAAGGGGGCGCCTGGGACAGCAATGTGGAGCCCCACCAGCCGTCCAGGTGAGGCCCCTGTCACCTGTAACCATAATCACGACACCTCCTGGCCTCACAGCTCCTCTCAGTAGCCTTAATGATGGGCTTTTTGTTTGAAGGTTCTTGGGGCGAGGTGTTTTTGCTTGTTTTATTCTCCCCTTCCAAGAAGTTTGTTTCCCTTTCTTCTCCGATCTTCCTTTCAAATGTCTTCCCTTTTATGGGATTTGCTTCCTAAGATCTGACCTGTGTCCTTCCAGCTACAGCCTCAACCCCTCCCCCAGAACATTTTCTGCCACTGGAAGAGCTGCAAGAGGGACAGTATGCCCCACCACCACCACGTCAGAACTTTCTGGAGGCCTGGGGTGCTAAACTCAGTCCTCCGGCGCCCCCACTTCTCCAGCCTCTTTCTACAGGCCCCATGGGCCAGCACTGACTTCTCTGCCGCATTCCACAGCTAGCCCCTCCCTGCCCCACCACCTCAAACCCAGGCTCCAGGCTGGCAGGACACCCACGGGAGGGCTTCTCCCACAATCCCTTTCTCTTTGTCCTTTCTAGGTCTTGGTGGGGGAAGCATGAAGACGAGTTGGCCAGGATGCTCTCTCCACAAGAGAGGCGGGAGGACCCTGTCAAGCAACAACAGCACTTCTCACCCGCTAAACCTTCTAAGCCCTTTGCAAATATTGACTCTTTTGATTCTCACAACTATTGTTAGCCCCATGGTGAGGATGGGGAGCCCTGTGTGGCTACTAAGTGGTAAAACCAGGATTTGCCTGCTATGTGATGGCAACATGGAGACTAAATGCGGGTGAAGAAAGAAAAGCATCTAACTCAGCCTGGGAGAGAGACTGAGACCACAGGATCTGAGAGATCCCCCAGCCAACCACCCTTTACTGGGTGCTTAACATTTGCATCCAAACCTCCCCTTTCTCTCCAATTTTTCCGTAGTTTTAGTTCTGTGGTGTGCCTTGTGTTCTCTCTTCCCTCTGCCCCTTCCAGGACCTCACCAGTGTCCTGGACAGTAGCACTGACCAGTCAGGCAAGAGAAGAATCTAGGCTGAGAATGGAGGGGGTGGAGATTGAGGGGTTTTTTTTTTCCCCTTCTGTCTGAAATAACCATTGACAGACAATTTAGAGGCTCCACCACCCACTGTCTCTCCCTCATCAGTGCGAGGGACCTCAGTCTCTATACATCTCTTCTGTGGAAGCCAAGCATTTTGCTAAAAGGCCTGAGAATCTCTGCTGAGAAATGGGTCTCACAGCACAACCTACCCCCCAGAGTCCTGACCCTTTACCCCACCAACCCCAGGATGACTCCAGAGCACTTTGTCTGAGTCCATCAAGCTCCAAGTATGCCAGTCTCCCTGGGCCCCAAGAAGGACAAGGGAAGGGAAGCCCCTGGGTCTTCTGCCTGTTGCTTCCTTCTATTCCAAGGCAACAAAGCTGGAGCTGAAAATGAGCTCACACGGAGTGGCACAGGTGGGGGCTGCACAGAGGAGGTGGGAGATGTCAGCGGACAAGCAGCTAATCCCTAGACACAACATGCACACTCACACACTGGGTGTGGGGCTGGTGTTGGTTAGACAAAACTTTCCCATCAGGGTAGGGGGCAGCAATGAGATTCTGCATTAGAGCTGCAGAAGGTATGGGACCATGAGCCAGCACCCCCTGCCACTCCCACCTCCACCCCAACAGTCAGTGGAGTCATTGCCATTTGATATCCGCTGAGACAACTTGGCTGCTCTGGGCCCTGGGTGGGGGAGTGGGGGGTGGCTTAGAAAACAGCAGCTCCTTTCAGGACCCAGGTTGGCAAGGGCTTTGGGAGGCTGGACTGGCCCAGATCACCCACCAACTCCCCCTCTTTTCCTCCCTCCCTCACCACTACCACCAAAGGATTGGGGTGAGGGTGGAGTTGGCACTGCCTGGGCCATGCCTATTGCCTCAGGAGTGCAGCCTGGACCGTCTCCCTGGCATGACGCTTCCCTCCCTATGCCCCCCCATCCTCCTCCTTGAAGGACCAGCCATGAGCCGAGACACCTGGCTTCTTCTAGATTTGGTCCCCGATACTCAGTCTATACCCTCGGAAATTAACAAGCCTTCCCTTAGCACAGGACGGTGCCTATCATCATGCCAAGAGCATGTTCAAAAAATCCTTGGAGATCAGTGAGTGAGGTTTAGGCTGAAGCAAGCAAACTTGGTGGTGGCTGCCAGCCTCTCCTGAGGCTGGCATCTTGATACCCACTCTGTGCCCTTCCTCCTCAGCACCCCTAAACAGTAGAGCATCAAATCTTCCATCACCATCTCTCTCCCACCTGGACTACCTAACACTCCCTAAGGGGGAGAAAAAAATTCGGATGCCTGGGTGAGGGCATACTGGCTGGAAGTCGAGTCAGAATGTGCGTTGATAAGCAACCTGATGAGGTTTTAAACTCTGCCTTCCCTTTGGAGCCAAATTTGTACTGGTCTTTCCACCACCGGTCCGCACCTGCCCCCACCTGCCTGGGTGTGTTGGGATGAAATCTCAAGACACCAGAGGCCCCAGGGCTACTTTGTCTCAGGTTCTTCCTTCTACCCATCCTGAGGTTCAGTGGTCCTCCCTCAAATCGGCAACTTGCAGCCTTCAGTTCTTCTCTAACTCAGGTGCGCTTGGTGGGGTCCTGGTGGCAGGGGGTGGGGGAAGGGGAAGAACAGGAAGGGGCCTCTCTGTTCAGGGGGTGAATTTATGGATTCCATCTGCTCTCTTACTCCAGAAGAAGCAGTCCTGCTCCTTTTCTCCCTGTGAAATAGCTGAGGAGGGGTGGGAAGTCGAAGGGAAGGGTGTCGAAGTAAAAGCTAAGTCAGAAAAGGGAGAGATGGCCGGGCAGTGACGGAGACATACCAGACAGCTGTGCCTCCCTAATCTAACCTGTGTTTGTCTCCCCACGTGTGAACTGGTGGTTGTGGGTGTCATCATATGAGTGTCACTGTGACAGGGGGTTGGGGAGCTGGCCAGGGAAGTGACCCATCCCTGTTGGGAGAAGAGGGCGCTGTCTGTGCGCCTTGGTAGAGGGTGCACATTTATGCAGGGAGGTGGCTGTAGTAATCGGAACAGCAGGTGTGCCCAGTGGGAGGGGTCATCGGGAAAGCCTTCCTTAAGCTAAAGGTCTGAAGTGACCATCCTGGATCGAGTACCCCTCGCGGAGGGCCCTTTCCAGAAGGGTCTGTTTGGGACTGCCCAAGGCAGGAGAGGGGACACAGGATGGTACCCCCGAGGCCAGCCAGGGAACGGACTAGGGAGTCCGGGGGGGGCGGCGATGAAGTCTCTGGAGAGTTAAGTGGACCCCGGCCAGGGCGGCAGCGCTTCATCAGGGCCAGGGTCTTACCTTGGGTCCCGAGGTGGAGTGGCCCCTCGGAAAGGCCAGCGGGACAGAGGACGGACGGGGCGGGCAGGAGTGAGGAGCAGAGCCGCGCGACGGGCAAAGTCAAGACTCTCGAGCCCGGAGTCGGGATCAGATAAGGGCTTGTCCTGGGGATGGGGCCGGGGTCTGGCAGGCGGGGGTCAGAGCTGGGCCGAGCCGGACGGTCCCCTCCCTCAGCAGCGCAGGAGCCAAACTTTGTGTGAATGAAGGAGCCCGAAGTGGGCCGGGCAGCGGGGGAGGGGGACGGGGGGGTCCGGACGGACCAATGGGAGAGTGGAGCGCCAGGCCAGGCGGCGGGGATTGGATGGACTTGATCAGGGGGCGTGGCGTGGGGCCGAGGAAGCGGAGACCCAGATTGAAGAAGGCGCACCCAAAGGCGGAGAGGAGACCCAGACGGTCGGGGAGAAAGAGGTGGAGAGACAATACGCGGAGCGATAGAGGCCGAGCTGGCAAGACGACAGGGGAAGAGAGAAGGAAGAAAAGGGAGGCGGAGGGGTCAGAGACGACTAGCGAGAGCGGGACCTGCGGGGGCGGGCTGGAGGCGAATTAATGAGGTGGAAATGAATTCAGGATAGGTCCACCGGCCCCGCGGGCTGAGCCTGGGAGGGAGATGGGGGTAGACTGGGCTGGGCTCCTGCGCTCTGCACAATCTCCCTATTATTCACGGTTTCCTAAGCAGCCAGTTGGGTGCTGTGTGTGAAATGCAAAGAACATCGTCTCCACCTGGGGCGGGGAGGCTAATGCTGGAGCTGGGACTAGTGTGAGAGAGAGCGAAGGCTTCGAAAGGGAAAGACCACTGTACGGAGTGGCTCCCAACGCGCGTGGGACGGAGGAGATGACACCGCCCAGGTCCCTAGGAGGCAGCGAATTCAGGCACGGGGGTCAGTGGGGAGAACACTTCCGGCAGGGGATAAACATAAACATGGCCCCGAGGGCACACGAAAGTACAAGTCTGCTTCAGAACAGGATTGGACTAGAGCACGGAATGGTGCTTCTCAGCCTTTCATCACCAAGGGCTTCTTTCATTGCCCGAATTTGTGTCTTGAGAGGTTTTTACCCATGATCTTCTCTCGGCGTTAAAGAAGAAAATAATCATTTCCCTGTCTTTGTTCATCATAGACATTTAGTTACTAATCAATAATCAATTGAACTAGTATAAACCCAGGGAGAGAAGAAAAAAACTAGAAATTTTAATTTAGTTTAACCTCTAGAAGCCCAGATGGATAAAATGCCCTTCAAAAGGCCCTGTTTGGGGAAGAAGGGAGGACTAGGCTAAAGGTTAGGCATCAAAAGTATAGCTTTATCAAGAAATCACTCAACAACAAATGTTGGCGGGGCTGTGGGGAGAAAGGAACCCTTCTCCATTGTTGGTGGGAGTGCAGACTGGTAAACCACTGTGGAAGTCATTATGGAGATACCTCAAAGAGCTAGGATTAGAGGCTCCATTTCACCCAGCCATCCCTCTGTTGGGTATCTTTTCAAAAGAATTAAAAGAATCATACCACGGTGATATATGCTCACCAATGTTTATAGCGGCACAGTTTGTAATAGCTAAAACTTGGAAATAGCCCATCTGCCCATCATTTGGGAACTGGATAACGAAGATGTGGTTTTTCTATAAAATGGAATGCTACTCAGCCATAAAGAATGAGAAAGTAGATTCATTCATAGGTAAACGGGTACATTTTGAGGATATACTCCTAAGTGAAATAAATAAGTCACACATATGCAAATACCAAATAGTTTCTCTGGTATGAAAAACTATAATAGTACTGAAGATCCTAATGGGACAATTAGCAATGTGCAATAGGAAGAAAAGGACCAAAGGTGTAGGGACAGTGAGAAGGACAGGGAAAGGGGAATAAGGAAAAAGGAAAAACAATAGGAGAAAATGTAAAAATGGAATTAAAGTGTTTGAAGGTGGGGAGGGGAGGACGGGGTGAAGGGAGGGTGGGGGCAAGGGGAAAAAATGAGAACCAAGACCTGGCATGTAAAGGTACAAGATCACAGTAATGTATGTAACTGTACTGTCTACCTAGAATGCACCAATAAATTCAATTTAAATTTTTTTTAAAGTATAGCTTTTTTTTTTTTTTTTTGCTGAGGAGAAGACTGAGAGTAAATACAGAGTCATCACATGGCTCCCCAGAGTTTCTGAAGCAACTGAAAGTTCTGGGGAAGGAGGGAGACAATACTCAACATGCAGAAGCTTAGGAAGGTTAACCTTGAGATGAGCAAGCTGGTTTGAATCAAGGAGAAGCAACAGGCAAGTAGGTGAAATAGAAAGTAATTGCAAAAATGCAGGGATGAGGAGATGAGATCCCAAACCAATATGGTGTCTGTGAAAGGTGGAACACAGAAAATAAAATGCAGTACAGAGAAGTCAAAACAGACCAACAAAACACTGAGGGACCCACTTGACATGATGAGTCAGAGAAAGAGGCTTCAGAAATCATACCAGGTCTGAAATCTAGCAGTCAGGGGGAACCACAAGATCATTAATGATCATTTACAGAATCCCAAGGTAGGGGACAACCTGGTGAACCAAGGGAGAGGGAAGAAGAGATGGTGATTTCAGAGCTGGGAAGTGTGGCTAGAGGTCAGAACTCGAGAGAGATGGAGTCACTTGCTGACAGCGCAGGATGAAGTCACAAGAGCAAGGAAGCTGCCCACAAAAACTTTGCACATGTAAAGGCAGCCTGGCACGAGGGAGGAAGTGCACCTGTGGGATAAGAGAAGGACCTCCCCAAAGAGCAACCGAGAATCCACCAGACAGGTAGAAAGGAGACAGGAGAGTGGGATGTTCCAAAAGCAAAAGAAGGGGCCAATGTGAAGGAGGCATTTGTAACAGTACTACCAGGTACACAGAGGAGGCTTTGGATTTGGCAGAGAGAAAGTCATCAGTGACATGTGAGAGCAGGAACAAGGTAGAAGCCAGATCACAGGGCCTTCCTCTCTACCATGGCAAACATCAGCAAGTACAGGCTACGCTTCTGACAAACTTTACTCAGGAAGGAGAGAAATACAGTCAAAGCCAGAACAACGTACTAAAAACTGTCTCTCAGCTCTTCAAGCTCCCACTCTGCTGTATCCCCAAGTCAATAGGGATGAAGGACAGTGATTAGGTGGTCTGAAGGCTGCCCTGTGGTGCCAATGAAGGAACTTAAAAGTAATTGGGACAGGACACCCAAAAGTTCGCACTGCCCACACATTCAGAGTCAAGAAGGATTTGGAAGCTCTGGAAAACCTACCAAATAAAATGAAAAACACCACAGAAGAGAAACTAGAGAACACCAATGGCTTAGGGAATGATCACCATTTATTGTGTATTTACTTATTTTTACAAAGATGTTGTCCAAGCATTTGGCTTCCAGCCCACCTAGGTATCCATTTCCAACTCAACACATTCCATCCTGCTCACAGAGTGCGCCTCTTCATTTCTTTCTCACCACAGTGAAAAGATTAATAGCACCGCAGCCATCCCGACTCTTCATTCTTCCTCCCCTCATCTCCCTAATCTATTGATGCATCTTGCGAGGGGTTGTGAGGTTGAACCCAAGGCTTCACATATGCCAGGCAAGCGTTTTGCCATGGAGCTATGTCGCCAGCCATTTTCCTTTTATTTTGAGGCTGGATCTCACCAAGTTGCCCAGTTGTCCCTGCTTCATCCTCCTGAGTAGCTGGTGTGTGTCACACACAGGGTAATGCATCTACTTTCCAAATGCCACCACCGCCACTGTCCTCTGGGACCCCGGCACCACCCATCAGGGTTTCTGTAGCAGGTAGGACTGGTTATCCTTCTTCCAGTCTGTTTCTTCCTTCAGATCATGAGTTCCTTTATGTAAAGATAAACAAACAACAATAATGAATCTCTCGCTGAAACACAAATCTGACCATGTTGCCTCCCAGTTTAAAAACCTTCAATAGCTGCTAGTGAGCTCTCAGGAAAAGCCAAGTTCCTTTCCACAGAGCAGAGGCCAATTATAACCTGGACCTGGCACCATCCCACTCTGGCCTTCTGCCATTGATCCAAACTCTACTTCCTTCTCCAACACCATGGTTCAATCTTGTGGTCCTGCTATGTATTTTGCTCCTTGAGCCTTAATCCCTTACAGTATCTCTGAATGATGCCCCAGTCAACCTCACGCTCTCTTGGGCGCTCACCTCCATGATCACATCTGCCAGCAGGGGACTTCCACCCTCACTGGACAGAACTCATCATCTTCCTCTTTGAAACTGGGAATTCTTGTGACTTCCTTCTTTCTGTGTTACTCTCGGTCAAGCAGACTAAAAAACCAAAAGTAATGCGCATTCTTCACCCTTGTCCTATGCCCCACCCTTTGGTGTGCCAATTAAGCCACCAAATTCTATTGTCTCCCTTAGTTACATCTCTCCAGGCTGTCTTTTTTCACTTTGTTGACTTTTGTCCAGATCGGGAAGATCATTGTCAGCTCAGGACCTCACTGACCCATCGCCCCTCTCTCTACAGGCAACATGCTTTCATTCTATCAGCTCCTGTGTCCCGGAATCAAAACCCCAAACAGGTGTCCCTTCTTATAGGTCACGGTCCAAATTATTTGCTCAACACTTAGGGTACTCCTCTGAGAGGCAAGAGAAGAAAGGGTCAAAGGGCAGATGCAGAAAGAGGTACCCTGAAGAAAACATCTCTGAGAAGCTCCCTCCAATAGGAAATGAAGAAATGACCAGAGGCCTGGAGTTGCACGGGCTGGATCTTATTCCTGCTTTCTTGGGATCCATTTCTTACTTACAAAGTGAGGGCTACTCTGGGACCAACTCTAAATGTCAAATGATGCTTACATCTTCATCTATCTCTACCCAATTCTATAAAGGAAAAATGGGCCCACCTGTGAGAAGGTGTCAGATTTTCTTCCTCTACCACAAATAGACAGAAGGGCAGGGTGACCAGGCATCAGTCTGTCTCCTGGGGCCTGCCTCTAGGTGCCCCACTACTAGCGGAATTTGTTTGGCATTGTGGGGCCTAAACACTAAAATGTCTCTCGAACTCCTGTTGGGGAGGAGCCTTGTCCACACGTCTATTCTTTCCAGCCAACCCCTCCCACCTCAAGTGTCACCTGTTCTGAGTTCCCATCATGCCTCCAAATCCAAAGCTTCCCTCCTTCCCTCTGTCCACACCTACTTTCCCAGCAAATCTCCTCACACCACTGCTCACTCATGGGTTCTCCTTCTCCAACA